TTTTCTGCTACGCGTTACTTGCCAGTTTTCCTTGTGCCAGTATGCCAGCCAACAATCGAGACAATTTTTTTTTCTTGTAAGCCTGACTTGTTCTTCTGCAGTAGTTATAATTTGAATGCACTGGATACAGCCACGCAGAAAAGTAATATAGGGTAACTCAGAGGTTCATTTTGGACTAATTAAACAGCTCCCCTTTTTCATACTACAGCTACTATAAAAATCCAGAATTTCTTTCTTGACAATTGTTACTCGATCAGGGAAGCTTTTTGTTTTGATTTCTGCATTCTTTCTATATATTTCCCACTAAAGTTTTCCCCATAATCAATGTTCAAGAAAAAGTTATTTGAAATTCATTCGGAATTAAAAAAACTGTTCAGTAGCTGTGATTCTATGTTGATTTTGCTAATGTTACTACTTCACAAAGGACAGTCTCCCTGTTTTCTAATGTCAACTTTTAGTTTTCAAAACTTCTAAAAAAGATATAGCTAATTTTCTTGGACCTTGTTTTTGGGCTTGCCAAGACAGTCAATCGCCAAAAATCAATCATGGTGACCTAGCATAGCAACTTGCTTACTAATACCATCACATCAGAAATCTTATTCAATGCATGAAGATTTATAATAGTAGTACGTGTTGGGAGAGGGGGGCTATAGCTGTTGGGATCTGGTAGGATCAATCTGATTATTATACATTTTACGTTAATTGGCGGTGTATAATTATAATTATGTTACATTCTTACGTTCGAGGTAAAATTGATGTACATAGATAAATAAAATATTTGATATATATTCAATACAATATTACGATATAATTGTACACTAAAATTTTAAACATGTACAACGATCGAATGGAGTCGCACGAAGCACAATTGTACTCAGATCCTTATCCGGTAAGTGTTGGCTATATTGGCTGATGATTTAGTCACAATTGACATTAGACAAATTTTTTACACTTGTTGACAAATCTAAAATATGCAGAGTCAATTGTACACCGAGACACGTAAGTTTGTAATCAAATGAACTTTAGGAAATTTCAAGGATGGAAGGGCGTCTGCGGTCGAAGGTAGTAAAGTAACCACCATTAATTTTTTTTTTTTTTTTTTTGCTTTGCTATCATTTTCAGACGGTTCTTTGCTAACAGGAATGGATTAGGTAATGAGTACTTGAGAAATTTCGACTCTAGTCGCTTTGTGGAAGTTTCCCATTTAAAGAAAGATTTTTCTTTAAAGCATGAAAAAGGTGTAGAGATTTAGAGCACGTTGATCGGAGAGACCAAACGTACCTTAAGTACGGCCGTTGAAATGTAGGCTCGTTGACATTGATGGCGGAGTTAGGGATGGTCAGATCGAGGACCGCACCCAAGTTTAGAAAATTTGATTTTTTTTTTAGTTAATTTTATATATATTGACAGCGACGGTATATGAACGGTTGGAATTGGATGGTGTCAAGATGCATCTAAATTTCAAATTCAAGTTCAAATTATGTGTTTTATGTGTCATGCATCTAATAGTATAGCGGTGAAAATGTATATGTAGGGGTCAAATTTGAAATCTTTCATTTAGATCCTAATCCAATTCAACACTTGGAATTAATGGATTCAGATCTTAATATATTCAGAAGCTTTTGATAATCAAAATTAAAACATCTAAATTCATTAAAGTGGTATTGAATTTTCTAGACAAAATTTGCTTCAAAAAATAAGTGATGAATTATGCACTTATCACTTACTGTAATGTATACGCTCAAATGTATTAAAATTAGTACTTAATAATTCGCTAATTTTCAAAATTTAATTTTATCAAACGCACCCTTGCACTCTTTCCCCTCGAATCGTCCAATCCATCCTCTCATTCAAACCTTTACTATTGCGAATATAAGAAATTAGTTCATGCAATATACTTATATTTAGACATCTTAAAATTTGCTCAATCAACGTAAATTTTCTTATTTCATCTATGATTGACATATTTCCGAATCTTGTTTTTGGCATCAGTATATCGAGAATTTTATGCTTTATTCTAAAATGCGGCCTCAACATTTCGATAAGATCAGGATGTAGAATCCGACGGTGCAGTACAATCCGGCCTCGCGGGGTTTGTCAAATCATCAATTGTTTTAGCTTGATCAATTGTCACGTGTTTGGCATTGAAACCTCAATCTATTTCTTGGCCCGCAACGGAACCAAAATTATGCCCCATAGGTGATAAGGGGTTTTGGCTATAATAGTTATTAAATGCTTAGTCATACTTGCGTACGAACTTTTTTGTTTTATAATGTGTAAGTTTGAATTTTTAAAACATATTATCTCTTCATTTAATTCAAACTTTATAATAAAATGGTTAAAATTAATTTTTTAATTTTTAAGATACAAAAAATTATTCTAAAAGCGCCAATTTTGAATTTATTCAAAAAGTGCTCTATGACCAAAATTTCGACTGCTAAATTCAAAGAACGATACTAATCAAATATGTTAAAAGTGTTTTTGTCTTCCAAAAACACTTTTTTTTTTTTTTTAACAAAAATAGGATAGCTCTAAACGGTCCATAGTGTCACTAGGAAGATAAGGCTGATAGGGGCAGCTAAATCTTATCATCTAGACTAAATTTGAGTCTTCAAATTACTTGGAGATTATAGATTATGTGTACATAACCTTTGTTATTAACTTTGTATTGTGTATAGCAAGCTTTAGGTAAGAATTGCACATTTTTAAGACTCAATTTAACCGGTAGGACATTAGTTTTGGAGACTCAAAGTCTTCAATCTCTGTCTTTCTCCCTTGTAAGTTTTGGAATTTCTATTAATCTGAAACCCAAAAAAAAAAAAAAAAAAAGAAAGAACCCCCCGGGGGAATTGATCTCATTAATTTTTTGAGCAATGATATACTAACCAATACCTATTGAGCATCCATTTAGAAAATCTATATATTTGTTAAACTGGGGCAATAATATTGGTTATTGGAATGAATTACCTTTCAGCAACAACAGTGGCTAAGTTAAAACCAACTAAATGTTGGAGTCCTTTATTGTTGATATAAGTATTAATTAAAGTTCATCAAAATAATAATGACACAGATTTTGGCCAGTTAATCAATTGTAATTATAACTGGCGTTTATTTTCAAGATACCATGAAACATTATGTAGGAAAGGAGCATCCGTTTGTCTCTTGCACACCACTCCACGGCCGTCAAGCCCGCTAGCGCAGTTCAAATTGGCAAACTCAAACTTCTTGGAAGAGCCAAAGCAATTCCACTGAATTTAGCGCAGTGCACCCGTTTTGTCCGGTTGTGGTCCAGTCCCCACCTGTCCCCCATAGGTCCAGTTGGACTTTCTTTTAAAGTAGGATATCTATATCTATATAAATTTGAGAAGGATTTTTAGGAACAAGCTTCCACAACCTTTCCCACTCTCAACTCTATTTTCCTAGCATTTTACATTTATCTTATTTCGTCAATAATATCATGGTCACATTACATCCCCACGTTTAACTCCAACTAACACTCCCACGTTCTCTCAAACAATAATGTAACTTCCACTTACATTAAAACTCAACACTCCCACGTTCCCTCACCCAAAAAAATAACTTCCATTTACATTAAAACCCTTTCCACTTACCCGCACGTCATATGGTTGTGGGACCACTACCGATTCCCATTTTCCATAGCGCATGATCTTTTCCATTTTCCACGGAGCAACAATACACTTGATACTTAGCCCCTAATCCAACGGAATTGAGGATAGCACCTGATATCTTCCCAACTTCCACGGAGCAACAATATTCTTGGCACTACTTTTGGGAATTACTCTTACAATTTCACTCCACACCCACCTTTCCACTTCAATTAAAATCCTTCCAATCAACTTCCTTCTCGAACCTCTCAAATTAGCTTCACAATGGAACATGGCCGTTTACAGGCATGTCAACAACGTCTGAATTTCAAACTCGCAAGATTGCAAAGGAGGAAACATCTGCTATTTGATCATTGTTCTTCCTTTGCACTTTCTTTAGTTTTTACCTTAATTAGTACTTTCTGTTTATCCAGATAAAGTTGTTTGTCACATGCATTTGCAGTTTACCTAGAAGCATTATATGTAACGACTTCAATAATTGGGGAACGGAGTATAAGTGAGAGATCCCAATTTCGAACTATCTCACTTACACTAACAAAAAAAAAAAAAAAAACTTCAATAATGTATGAGCGCAGGTTAGGTGTATCATAATTTTTATTAGTCTAAAACCTAGTCAATATTAAAGAAAAGAAAGATCATAAAACTTATCGATAATTCTAGGAATATAAAACATAGAGAATATGCAAGCCTTTCCTTGAAATAGTTCTATGGATATGATTTACTGAATTAATATACAAATAATAGAAATATTGAAATAATATATAATTTATTCTATGTGTGGTCAAAGGTAACATTATGAAAAAAACCAATAACTCAAGGACTATAAAATTTTGAAAATATGCCCTTTCAAATCTAATAAATGAAATGTTAACTTACCAAAACCATAGAATATTCAGTTATGAAACAACATGTAAAAGCGGTAAAGAGTGTTGTTACAAACATTTAGACTATCAGGATAACAATAATTTTCGAAATTGCACTTTGACCCTCTAAATTTTTACAAAATCATATTTGACTTGAGAAAATAGATGGAAAAGGAAAAAAAAAAACTAAGATATTAAAAAGAAAAATGCAAAAAAAAAAACTAAAATTTGTGAAGTTATGAATTCATTTATTTTGTAGTTGAATTTGACAAAAAAAAAATTAGATAATTACACTTTAATCCAAAGTACGACGAACTAAAATGTGTAATTTACCTAAAATCGAGTTAAAAACTGATTTGGGTCATTTTGGGTATTCGGGTTTGAGTGAACCCAAGTTCACTTTTCCCAAAAGTAACCCATTGAAAGTTTAGACTAGTTGGATCATAGCCCAACCATAATAGTAAACCCATCAATAGGTGGCCCAATTCCTGCTCCACCCGCCCAATTACCGCCGCCTCTTAAAGAACATTGAACCCCCTCAAACTCAGTTCTGAGCATTAGGGATTCAAATATTTTTGCAAAATCTTAGAACTCACATCAGCCGAAATTGTGAAATGGATAGGCTTGGGGAAGATGAATTAGCCTCAATTTTGGAATGGATTCAAGACCCTCGTGACAGAAATTCATTTTCTCTGGTTTGCAAGCGTTGGTGCAATGTTGAAGGCTTGAATAAATTTTCTCTCCGCGTTTTTGAGCCTAATTACCTCCTAAGTTTTCTACCAAGATTCCCAAATTTGCTTATGTTTGAATCATCGGAGCCAATCTCAGATGCCCAGATGGAGTTTCTTGCAAGAACATGCCCCAGCATTCAGAAACTCAACCTCTACTACCACGAGGCATTTCACACCTGGGCATCAGCTAGACATTCCGACTTTGGCCACGTTGGTTTATGTGCTCTGGCAAAAGGGTGTTGCAATTTGAGGTCAGTGGTGTTGAGGCGGAGAAGAGGAGTCAGCAATGCTGGAGTTTCTTCGCTTGTTAAGTTTTCGCGAAATTTAGTGAATTTGGACGTGAGATGGTGTAAAGGGATTAGTGATGAAGCACTTGAGGCAATTGGGACCATGAGTGCTTTGACAAGCTTGAATTTGCAAGGTTGTTGTTTAATTTCTGATGAGGGGCTGGCTTCTTTGGCAAAAGGGTCTCTGTGCAAGTCCCTTGAGTTCTTAAATCTTGCAGAATGTGATCGAATTTCGGATGATGGGGTGATGAAATTGGTGGCAATGAAGTCCTTGGAGGTATTGAAATTGGCAGAATGTGGTCCAAAAGTGACTGATGTTGGTGGGAGGGCTGTGGCTGCAATTGAAAGTCTCAAGAGATTGAATTTATCGTGGCTGATAAATGTATCTGATGACACAGTTTTTGCTCTGGCTCAAAATAGCAAAAATTTGGCGACACTTCATTTAGAGGGCTGTGAATTGGTTACAGGAGATGGTATCCGTGCATTTACTAGCCACAAGTCTTTACGTAAGCTAGAATTGTGTGGTATTTATAAATTTAACGTAAATGATGTCGAAGAGCTGGTGCTTGGATGCCAATCTTTGGAGTTTATTGGGATGGATCAAAGATTGAGAAGTTGGATTCCTGTTACAGAGCAGGGGAATATATTTAGGCCAGATTGTCGGATTTCTTGGAGGTTATAGACCAATAAAAGACTTACATTTGTTAGTAGAAGGAATTGTTCTGCAGGTAACTGTGTCCTTTTCTTTTACTTCCCGTTCCTGTATGCCATTTTTATAATGCAATTTGGTGCCAATGCGGGTGACATCTCTTATTTTTGCTCCTCATTGTATTCTAGACAAACATGATGATGATAAGTGCAAAGGCAAAGACAAGACAGAAATTCAAGCTTCTATTCTAGGTGAAGGGATTTCACATTAGGACGTATCCCTACTAGAAGGCCAATTTGGTGAAGTACCTATACGGAATTACTTTGGTTTCCTGCAAAAGAATTGGATATCTTGTAGCATGTGGTGCCATTATAATATCCTTTACAAGATGCTAATGTAATGCTCATTCATAAAAGTTAAGGTCAAGGATAGCCTGTGGTTCGTGAACCATTATGAAGTATAACATAACATCCCTGTAGTTTTAGAATGCTCACCTTTCGCATGTGGTCTGAAACGTGAGCCAACTAGAAGTTGGAGTTCGTACTTTCTCCAGACAGCTATGTTCGTGTCTGACTGGTGATTTTTCTTTTTCATTGTTTTATATTTTTTTTCTTTTTGTTTATGTAGAAATGTCAAATGGATTTGAGTTAATGATGCTCAAGTTTGTCAAGGTATATTCTTTCTGTTTTTCTAGTTGTCCACTTTCATTACTATCGTTCCCATGTTTCTGTCTCATAAAATTTATTTATATTCTTTTGTGAGTCTTGTTAGATCATGTTAAAGAGTCTCTGTTTGGGTAAAGAAGCAGTTAAGGAGCAGTTGCATGGAATCCTAGAGATGGTAGTTGTAATGATAAAAAGCTTCTTTGTGTATGCTGGATGTACAATTCGTTTTCCTTGCGGGGATATTGTCTTTCTGTTTGCCAATAACCTTCAAATGTTAAAGTAATCTTGATTAGAATTTTTAGCAATCTGATCTAGTGCTTAGGAAAGATTAGATTACCTGTTAGTACCTAAATGGCTAAATCTGGTCTGCTCCCACTTAAATCGGCCCTTGTATCTTTACAGTCACATCACCCTACTCTTTGCTGGCTTTCACTTATGTTGTGTGACTGACTTGCTCGCAGGATTTCATTCTGTTCTGTAAAGGTAGGCTTGTTACTAAGTCTAGATTGCTGGCCTAGGGATCCTTATTAATACATCTTGTGTGCTATGCGATACTGATGTAGAAACCATAAATCATTGTTCTTGCGTGCCCTTTCTTCTGCCATATAACGTCATGTTTAGGCTCTTAACTCCATATACGAGGGTGTAATCTCTAGACTGAGGAGTTACCTTGGGCTTGTTGTACTTGATCAACATTTTTTCTCTGTTGAATTTGCAGATTGTCTTCAGCAGGCACAATATATCATCTTTAGAGGGCTAGGAATGGAAGTGTTCAGTTGTTCAATTACACTTGATATTGCTAGCAGTACAAGCCTTGATGGTCTTCTCAATGTGTTCCAATACGTGCTCTTGATGTTGTCAGCACAAGTTTTAAGTATTGGCATATGAGTTCTTGCCTTTCAGGCTTTTATAGAGGAACTCTGTCTACATTTACTAGGATTTTAGATTTGTGGTTAAAGATGTGCATTTAGCAGCCTTCATATGCAGGAATTGCCATATAGAAGTATTTGAATATGATAGTTATATACATCTAGAAAACAAGAATGCTTGCATTACAACTGAACACAAGGGGAGTTACAAACTTACAATTGTCACTCCCTATGTGCTGCATATATTTCTGTTCCTTTTCCAGGGTCTGAACTAGAAAGTGCCCTTCTCTTGAATGAGTTACGTTGCTCCTCTAATTTGAGCTTTAATATTTAGTGTTTAGAACATAAGTTGGGGTTAGGCACTTTCACATAAGTCAGGTCATGGATTAGTTGTGTGTATCGGATTTTTGTATAGTTTTTTTCTGCAGAAAAATTTTTGCATTTTCCACGAACGTATTTCTCAATCACTTTTTTACCTTATATACATCAAATTGCTACAGTATATTTTTCTACAAAAAAACTCTTAAGAATAGCAATCCAAATGGAGCTTAAGCTTTCTATATTTTGTGAGGAGGATGTTGTCCTTTTTCCTTGCACATATTTAATCTAATGAGTGGATTTTCTCATCTGCATTGTCCTTTCACTTGTTTAGAATCTGGTTTCATTTTGAAGGGATAACAGATTATGGTTCTATATTTCAGATTATGGTTAACGAATTGGTTATCATTTCTTCTAGTTAGAGTTACAACTGCTACAGTTCGTTGGATACTTAGTATGAATTCATTACTAGTTTGAACATCCTCAAAGATGAATATATTCTACCTTACTAATACTTGAAGCCTCAATTTTTGTCATAGCAATCTCCATGAGCAAGCCCAAAATATAAATGCATCCGAGGCACAAAATCACGCCTTCAGATTTATCTTCTCTAAAAAACATCAAATATTTGGTTCATTTTTTTTTTTTTTTTTTTTTTTTTTGTCAAAATCAAATAGATAGTTTTGAGGGTCCTAACTACAGCATTCTAAAACTATCTATGCGGGTTCTTTTGGTTATCTGTATCCGTTCTCTTGGTTCTTGGGACATTGGAACGATATAAAATTGAACTTGATTTATGCTTGGGACATTGGAACGATATAAAATTGAACTTGATTTATGCGATGATACAAGATTGAATTACTAATATGTATATGTATCTGTACCTATACTAGAAGTGTGATGGCGCTCTTGACACTTTTTGGCTTTTTTTTTGTCCCCCAAATTTAACCTTATAAATCCAATAAAAATAATTATTGATTTGCTTAGATGTCAATTCAATATTTCTATTGGAGGTTGGGGAGGCGGGAGTGGGGAGCGTAGGAGGGGCTTATTTCACCCAGAAATTCTTTTTTAGATATGAATAATCTTAGGGTGCATTTGATAAAATTAAAATATATTAAGTATAAAATTTTAACATTTCAGCATGTTTTGCATTAACTGATAAGTGAGTGGTTTATCATTTATTTTTCGAAGTAAGTTTTGTTTAGAAGATTAACTGCTACTTAATTAATTAATATATTCTATTTTTTTGTTATCAAATGCATCTGAATATATTATAATCTAAATCCATTAAATTTAAGCGCTGAGCTGAACTAGATCATCAAATGGGGCGTTACTCTCAGTCTTAACCTTCGATTGGTTTTAGAAGGACTTTTTTATCTATATTTGAGAAAATTCTTGCACACAACAAGGAAAAGAAAAGGATAAATCCAGAAATTAAGGCCTTGTTTGGATTGCTTGTTTCCGTCGGAAAATATTGTCGTTTTTCGTGATCACATTTTACTATCACCTTTTTCCCTCACATATATCAAATCGTTACAGTAATTTTTTCATGAAAAATGACGGAAAATGCAATCCAAACACAACCTAAGCCTGTGGTGCAGGTCACTTAGTGCTCCAAGGAATAAACGACATGCAGGAAAAACATGTAAAAAGTTGGAAATTCGGAGGATACAAATTACAGTCGCTTAAACCTTAGACGCTCATTTACAAATTACATAGCTTCCACAATCCTCTAGTCGAAATTCCAGTCAACATAGGCACCCGAAAGGGGAATGTGACTGCCAACTGAATTGGAAAAAAAAAAAAAAAAGTGTGCAGAGATAAAGAAGAGCAATCATCAGTATGGCTTCTTCTTCTTCAATTAGATCGTTTGGTTCATTGATTTGCAGATTCTCAAATGGGGTTTTTCTTAGGCCCTCTCACTCATTCGCTCTTCAAAGTAAGCACATTTTTTCTGTGTCGCCTCGCCATAGACAACTTCTTTGTCTTGCTACATAAAGTTTTGAACTTGTTTCTTTGGATGCAGGGAAGCTATTTTTCAGAGAAAAGCTATCATCTTGCTCGCGGTATTCATCATCAGGCAAATGGGTTTCGGCATTTCACTTCGGAACTGGGAATTCTGTTAGAAAGATTCGATCTTTCGCCCCTCTTTTTATGGGGAGGCGCTCCTGCAAAATTGCTGGTAGAAAGGTAAGTACTTGTATATCTCCAATTTCGTTTTTGTGTGATATTGGTGGCTCTTGTGACTAGTTGTTCATTGTTATTTGTTGATAATTTGATGATACGTGGGGTTATTGAGCAACTCTAATTCAACTTCAAGATGTACCTGTTTGATTAATTGCTTGAGAGAATATATTGAATTAACTGCAAAAGGTATAATTTATGAATATTTCCAGTGAAAAACTAGTCTATGTCGTGTGGCTGAAGATGAGTGCAATTTCTTTGGCAGTCGCCATGAATGGTGTTAATCAATGTCCTTTATTAGATAGTTAGCTTGAGCTTTGAGTACATATTGAGTTGTAGAAAAAATGATTTTGGTAGTAGATTTGCTAATCTTACGAATGTGGAGCTTGTTGTATCAACAACCCTGTTCAAAATGATAAAATTTCGATGATTGCTTGATCTTGTGTTCTATTGGCATTTCATTCAATCACTTCGTATAACTGTGTTCTTTCTGGTTTCCTATGGAGGCATGCAAAGCATATAAAGTTGGTGATTACTGCAAATTAAGAAAAATTTGAATTGGAGGAATATCAATGCATTTCTATTTTGATCTTGTGCTTCCTTGGCATTGGATTAGAAGTTGAGGGTCTGCATTATAATTAACCTCTATGTTCAGTGAATCTCTTTTTGATTGCAGACAGCCCAAGATGCTAAGAAGACAAAATTGTATTCAAGGATTGGAAAAGAGGTTGTATCAGCGTAAGTTTGCCTCTGATCACCAATTTAACAAATAGGTTGAACCTTTAAAGTGTACAAGGAACTCCTATAGAAGTCTTATTTCTGTTTTTCATAAACAGGGAGGTATTTTCTGGACTGGTTACCCCGAGCAACATTGCTAACTGATATTCATGATATGTCTATTATAGGGTTAAGAAAGGAGGTCCTAATCCAGTATCTAACATAGTTCTTGCTGCATTACTTGAGAAAGCTAAGGAGCTTGATGTGCCTAAGGAAATTCTTGAGCGTAACATTAAGAGAGCTTCAGAGAAGGGTCAGGAAGCTTACATCGAGAAAACATATGAGGTAGCATTCATCTTGTATGTATCGTCCAGTCCATGATTAATTTTTTGCGTGTTACATGTTCATCTCCATTTCCATGCTAGTTTTATGTTTACAACTTTGATGGATATAACAAGCTCTGAACTTTCTGCCTGTTATATTCAGGTATATGGTTATGGTGGAGCTGGTATTGTTGTTGAAGTATTAACAGATAAAATAAACAGATCAGTGGCAGCTATCAGAGGCGTACTTAAAGACTGTGGTGGAAAGATGGCTGATTCTGGTTCAATCGCGTTCAAGTTCAAACGTGCTCGGGTTGTGAACATAAAGGTAACAGATGTTGAGAAAGACCAACTTCTCTCTATTGCTTTAGATGCTGGTGCTGAAGATATCATAGAACCTTTACTGGATGAAGATGATTCTGAAGAAGACAAGTCAGAAAGGTATTTGGAGCTCGTTTCCATATGTGTAACTTGAGCTATTGCTTTTATTGTTGTTGTGCAGATTTGCTTGTTTTTTGTCCCTTAAAATCATAACTATCTGCCTGAAAATATATTTTGCCACAAGGAAATTCTGTCACAAGTCCTATCTCTCTCAAGGTTCCCTACTTTATTGGTGAATCTTGTTCATTATTAATGTTCATTTGGGTTGAAATGGTTGAGAAGTGTGGCCTTGAGCAAATTCCTAATCTGTTATAATCTTTAGGTGGTGATGATAACATGTATATGTCTGCTCCAACCACAAGAAAGAAAAAATGGTGTGTGTGCGTGTGTCCAACAGAGAGGAGAGAGAGAGAGAGAGACTACAATCAGTTGTGTCATTCGTAAAAATTCTGAAATCTCCTTAAGTACATTTGGCATCAATTTAATTGTGCTCTACCTTATGCAGCATCTGGAGGAAGTACTTTGACTGTTCTTTTAATTTATAGTGCTTAACTGTTGAAGTTTTTAATGTTTTCATGGTCCTTTGGCAGACATTATAAAGTTGTGAGTTCAGCTGAGAATTACTCTGATATGCTATCAAAGCTTCGTGATTCTGGAATTCCATGTGAAACTGATAATGGATCTGAGCTACTTCCCATAAATCCGATTGAGGTAAGTAAATGTAAAAGACTGTTTTCCCTGTCCTTATCACTCTATTACGGGGGAAGTTCCTGTCTAAGGTAGACGCTATCAACTGATCTGAATGATGGTAATAAAGATTCTTGCATCTAGTGAACTTTGAAAATGATTCTCTGATTCTACAAGAGACACATAAATCCAGCTTTTTATTTTTAGAATGATAATTATGACCATGATGACCATCAAAGTTCTGCATTTTACTCAAGTTTTTCTACGAAAGAACTTCTGATGTTTTGAGGAACACTTTGGTAATGAGGTGGGGAATTATTAGGCAACAACAAAGAAAATATGTAGTAAGATGTGCCATCTTTTATCTCAACATACCCAAGAACAGCTAACAGGCTGTAGACATCGAAGCCTCAGTGAAGAGAAGAAAACAACTCTATTCAGACTGAGACAAGAGTGAGGGCTGATAAAACTATAAATGGTCTTATGATGTTTTCATCTTATTATTTGGGGTTAAAAACAAAAATGCCCCTTGTGGTAAACCTAAAATACAAAAAAGTCCCCCATGGTTTCAAAATATACAACACGACACCTCATGTTTTGAGTTAAATTGTAAAGGTGATGGAATCTGTTAAACTTAACGGAAATGGATGAAATGACAAAAATGCCTTGATATAATTAAGCAAAAGACAACTCGACAAAATC